GAAAATGGTTGACATATATATCGACATAATTTTCAATTCTCACGGCTATTTCTCGTTTTTCAAGACCTCCTAAACCTAGTTGAACGTGTAACACCTCAAATCTAGTTTCCAATGCTTCGTCTACCACTCAAAAATTAGTTCTACGAGTTAACGTAAACGGTGTAAGACAGAAAGTAATCGATCGATTGGAAATGTCGTCCGGTAATTCGTCTCGGCGCCATCGCGGACCCAAACCATCTCGTTTCCGGCGTGCAGAAATTCCCAGTAGTGTAAGTGAACTCCGTTGTACTAATCTCAGATTTTCAAAATTTTCAGAAAGGGACCCGCACTTCTTCCGGATCGTCCATTTCATCTGTTTCATCCTCTTCTCGTGTTCAGTACAGCAACACCAATCGTTCATCCTCGGCGGAATGCTCTGTGACTTCGGAACCCATCGGTGTCCGCAGCACCAAGAGCGTCGGATCCGCAATCTCGTTGGCAAACTCAGTGTTCAAGTAAGCGACTACTGTAGCCCTTATATAAATTACACATTCCAGCGTTGTTGCTCCGGATCTCGACATCAATCCTGGAGATCGTAAGGAGATCTACAACTTGGAAGACAAGGGAAAACTGGTGATCATCAATCGTGTCAACGGAGAAGTCGTCTACATGCTTCGTTGTGTCGATGGAAGACGTGTCTACATCGAGAAGGCCGCCGAGGGAGCTAGCTTGATTCTGACCAATCAGAAGGGAAAAGTGATAAAATCACTCGCCGGACACTATGTGACATAGTCATATCACAGCGGAATATTATGTGCAGGCAAAGAAGAAAAGAAGTCAATCGGCCGAAATCCAGCATCTCTATTTTTTAAAGATTTTTGTCTATGTGTTTGATAAATAAAGACTGGAATTAAAGAATATAAGCATACCTTGTACTCAATAGCTTCCTCTAATTCAGCCATCTGTTGAACTGAAACCATTGGAATATAGGCTCTTTCGTAGCTCTCATTTGCCATAGCTGTCAGCTCACTGTCGATCATCTCGCGAACTTTTTCGATCAATCCCATCGCTTTTGTATTCTCATCACTGGAAAAATTAGAATTGGGTTTACCTATTTTTTGAAATTTGTCTTACTTATGAACAGCGACAACTGCTCGAAGCATAGCTCCATCTTGCGTATTCTCTGATATTACCGACACATATTCAGCCATTCGTTCCCAATTGTCCACAGCCCATGCTCCTCTCGCCGCAATGACTGCCATTTTATGATCCAACTGCTTCTTATTAATCTCATCTCTTATCGAATCACTCCGTTGTGATCTCTGCTCCGCCCATATTGCCGATTTCGCGTTCAACTCATCCCATCGTGCCAACGCCTCCAAACATCTCATCTCATGCATTTTAGCCTCTTCAGCGGCTGCTGCCTTTTCTGGCGTTTCGACGTCATTCTTATCCAGATTCTGTAGATTCGTACACGAGTTCTTTTCCTCCATGTATGCATCTAACGCCTTCTCCCACTCATTCAACTTCTCGTACCAACGACCACGTCGTTGGAAATTCATGTCGTTTCTCTCAGCGTACCGAACGACTCCAGCAGCTTCTTCTTGAACATTCAACTTGTTAGCGTAGGTGATAAGACTTTGGCAATCATTTGGACGCAGTGTGATCTTTCTTCTGAACGTCATCGGTGCAGTTTCAGAGCTCTTCAGCACACTCATCTCCTTATATCTACATGCTTTCGCAAACGCTTTCGTCTGTTCAGCCCACATTCCGAGAACATCATGGGTTATGGGGAGTGGTCCTTTCTCAGAGTGATCCATGAACTCTGCCAGATTCAAAATCGTTTGAATCAGTTCGGGAATTCCAGTGCTAACTGCTCGAAGAAGACAAGCGGTAAGATCCTTCTGAACTTCAGAATCTAATTCAGTCCACACGGACATGAATGCTGCTGGGAAGAGATCACGTGCCAGATGAGGATATTGATCTCCAAGGGATGAAGCAGCACGGAGTGATGGAGAACTTCCACTCTGAAAACCATCAGATAAGAAAAATCTGACTTCCAAAAACAAATTTACCTTCAAGAATCCTATACGAATCTTCACCAGCCATTGTAACCACTCGTCTTTCGATGTCAAATGCTCATTTTTCCACTGAGACATCACTAAATCTTTATTGAGACGTTGCTTTGTGATCTGGATAGTAACAAGTTCACTTGTTGATCGAGCAGTCGTTGGTGCCACTTTTGGAGTTTCTTCTGGAACTTTTCGAGAGTAGGAATCACCAAAATTCGTCAAACTCACTTTTATCTTCCAATCCAAACTGATAATAATCATCTCTGTTACCATGTCGGCTGTTTGCAGAATCCATTGATCCATTCAGAAGTCTCTCATGCAGCTCATTATTCAAGTAAATGTTTCCAGGATCTCCTCGAATCGCCGCTTGTGCTGATTGCAAATTTCCGTTGGATCCAGCGAAAACGGACGATGTGATAACGTCGCGAGACATTTGTGCTCTTTGAGCTAATTTTCGATACGTCTCGTAATGAACACTCTTGTCCAGAGCATGCTCACGGAGTTTCTGATCGACTCCTCGCTTGAAAATATCAAAGAATTTTCCAAGTTGTTTGATTATCTCAATGAGCAATAGAAGCAACTTGTCTCTCATTTCAGCAACTTTGATATTGTGATGCCAACTCTGCATCATTCTTGGAGCATAAGCAGATACATCGACTTGTTGTGTCATATGGAGCACAGTATCCAGAGCTGTTTGACGAATTGATAATTTCAAAGAAATGTCGTCAAGGATTATAAGAATCGGAGGGAGAACTAGATGAAGATGCTGGACAATACAATAAGTGAGTGGTCGAATTGATTCCATCACTTTCACAGTCAACACTCGTTCTTTGGTTTTATCAGTTTGAAGAACAGTCAAAAGATACGGTATCAATTCTCCCGTATACTTGCTGAAATCGTTTCCAATCGCAGTTCCCATCTCGGTCAGCACTTGAATCACAACCATTTTCACCGAGATATCTTCCTTCCAAGCGTCAGCAATGATCGTGAAGATGGCTGGCATATACGGTGCCGCATGCTTCTTTATAATTGCCACAAAGATTGCCAATTGTTGAAGGAAGAACTCTCTGTTAGTGCCATGATTCGACTGTTCCGTTGTTTTCCGACACACTTCTATGAGTCTCGGTACTACTTGCTCTGTGTACAACGGTGCCATTTCTCCCAAACTTCTGAAGATTGTCACTATGGCTTGAGCGATTTCCGCAAAGTTCTGTGAGTCCTCGTCCTGCATCATAATCATTAGATTTGCAATTGTGATCGCTGGATAGAACTCGTCAAGAGTACACTTTTCGTAGTTGAACCAGTGGATAATGTCTTGTCGGGGATCTTTCGAGTCTTCTGCGTTCATGGGAAGTGACAAAGCTGTGCTTATAGCGGTTGCGCTTTGTACGGATCCAGTGAAAACTTTATGGGTGTATGGATCGATGGCTCCAAGGATACCAAGAGTCTTGATAACTTCTCTACGCATTGTGTTCGACATTACTGTCTTCAGAATCCGAAGTAGGTCATCCAGAAGTGTCGGATAGTCTCGATACGGGTCTACCACGTAGGCAGTTGATCTACATATTCCACCAATTGCTCGGAGAGCAGCCTGCAAATTTGAGCTATGCAGGACATCAACAGAAACAGGCTTACCTCTCTTTTATGAAGGTTACTCGAATCATTGATCATATGTGTCAGTTTTTCAAACAACGGCTTCAGATTCTTGACTATTTCTGCTCCACCAATCACCGAAATCTCACTGATTGCATGTAGAACTTGAGCTGTCACTTCGGCGTACTGTAAGTATATAGAAGCGTGGATATGAAAAATATGATGAAAGAATGATAATTATTTTTTGATTTCGATTTCAACATTGTAATTTCATTTGATCAATTTCGGAATAGATGTGAGTTTTTCCTTGAATTTTCCGTTGGAGTCAATTTTCTAGATGCTTACATTATTATTCCGTTATACAATCAGTGTGATTCTTCCGATTGTTCTTCACGTTGGATGCTCAAAAAAGAAGAAAGCGCTGGTCAGTACAACTTCTAAGAGCAGCACAATTTCTTCAGCAACGAAGACTCAGGAGAAGACTCAGACAGGAAATACAGGATCCAATATTTCCAAAGAAGCTCCTAATGCACCGGTTAAACCACCCACAAAAAGTTCGGATAACATAAAAGATGCTAAATCCGCCCCACCACCAGCAGCAAAACCATCAGTGCCAGATGATAAGAAAAAAAAAGAAGGAGACGGTGGAAAGAAGAAGAGGTCATCTGGAGAAAACGGGAAGAAAAAGAGCGCGAAGAGTGAGCAAGAGACTCAAAAAATGGAATTGGAAAAGTCGAAAAAAGTACAGAATTCGTGTATGAATACCGCAATTGGGGGGTACGATTATGGCCACGGTTCGAGAATCATCGAAGGTATCCATCTAGGCTAATACAAAGTAGATAATTTTTAATTTTCAGATATCAAAAGTTGGAGCAGCTGGTGGAGGTGGAGATGGTGGTGATGGCGAGGGAGGATACGAGAAATTAGGAGATTTGTCAGCTGATGAACTCAAGAAAATCGCTGAAGCAGCTCCGGTTTAGAACTCTATTACTCTTATTTAAATAAATCTTCCACTTTTGACCCACCTTTTGATCATTTCTCATCTTTGGAATCAATGCTACCATAAGGGATCCCACATATGGTCTCATAAACTTCGGACTTTGTTTAGCCAACTGCGCAATCATTTTCGCTGAGTGCTGCTCCAATCTCGCCTGTCCACTCTGCATCATTTGACTCAGCGTTTCCAGAAGCATCAAGCGAAGACGTGGCAAAACCAATGCAGGATTCAATTCTGCAAGACGCCCGAGAAGTGTGACACAAGCCTGTTGCATTTCGAGCTTCTCATCGTGCAGAGCCATGAATTGAACTTCAAGCATTTCTGGTTGAGCGAGATGAGCGAGGAACGGCCGGGGCATTTGCCCGAAGCAACTGATGACTTGCATTCGAACACGAACATCTGGATCGTTCACAATTACAGAACACACAGCACGGAGAACTCCATAAATCGTTTGAAGGAGACTGTTTCTCTTGTCAGTTGTAACTTTCTTGTAGACTCCAACGAACGGAACAACCATTTCACAGCACGAAGAAACAGCGGCAAGCCGAATTTCCACGTTGTCCGCAGTCAGATAGTACTGAAAATCGGTGGTCAGAAGTACGAATTGAAACGGGATGAAAGTAACTCACATCTGCCACATACTGCATAATTCTCTGCAGAGCTCCTCTTGAGAAATAAAACTCTCCGAGAACATCGACAGCAAGAACAATGCGTTGAAGCTCTTTTGGCTCCTCTATCGCTCTCTGCAAGATGAGCTTAGGACTTGGTGGTCGTCCAGTTGGTTCTGATTTCGGTGGAATTGGAAGTCCAGTAAGTGTGTGATATACGGAAGCCATGACACCGTCTTGTACGTTCAACCTGAGTTTCGGAATTCGCATCATGATCATTTTGAGAACATTTGCCAATGATCGGGATAGTGGAATATCCATGAGTTGGGGAATGATGGCTTTGATCTGAGCAGTGACTTTCTCATGATAAGAATCGACGAAGAGAAAGAGGAAGGTGAAGAAACTGTCGAGAGCGTCAGAAGATGTCGTAACTTTCTTTATTTCGGCGGAAATGAAATTGATAGTTGCCTCGATTCGATTCGAATGTACATCTGGGTTATGAAGCATCATCATGCCGAGTGCTGGAGCACCAATGGAGTTTTTTTGAAGGCTGTAAATTGAATTTTTATATATTAAAAAGACGGAGGAGTAGATGTCTTACACATGGAATGCAGTATCATACGCGAGTGTCTGGAAAGTGCGATCTGACTGTGGAAACGCACAGATTCTAGGGAGAAGTTGCATGAGAACCGTATTCAGGTGAATGCCAGGCATCTGTTTGTTTTGAACCTTATTTGCAAGAGGAATCATTTGCCGGACACAATCAATTATCTGAAAATGAGATTGATTGAGATTGATCGATTGGTGAGAGGCTATTACTTTTGAGAAATTCTCAACAACCAATTTTCGCGATGTGACACTTTCTACAATGACTGGTTGTTTCGATAGACACAGCCATTCTACACCATCGTCTTCGTCTTCTCTCAGATATTTCTGTTTAACGAAATTCGAAGATTCACATCGAACCATCTCGAATCTTGAGTCTGATATGCGCAACAGTTCATTCAGAATCAATGCGACCGAGTGCCATTTGTCATGAATATCCGACGATTGATGATTCGTATTCGCCGTCAGAGCCTCGCTGAAGCACTCTTTGAACCATTCGGTTTTATTCTTGGCTTCTCGTTGTGAACAATCGTCAGTACTGTATGCAACGCGTCGATTCCAGCAAGACGAACCAGCACTTGCTTATCTTTGATAGCAAAGAAGATATACTTGAAAAATAGATTAACACGAAGGAAAAAGGCAGTTGGAGTGGCGAGTGCTATCTCCCGAGACAGATGAGCAGAGGCAAGTCGGCGTTGTTCGATTAGTGTCAAGTCCTTCTGATTCTGCACAGGTGGCTGGTAACTGGGCACGTGGTGAAGCCATTCCTGGCAATGATCCAGACATCGATCAACTAGTTCGGCGGCGTACGTTTTGCATGTCTGCAATAATTGAATTCACTAGATTTCTTTCTTCTGAACATACCGTAATCAAAAAGGCCAGTGCTTTAGAAGCCAACTGAATAGTTTGCTCATCTATTCCGCCCCCATTCAGCATTTTTAGAAGATAATTCGCATATCTGATGACGTTTGAGGAGTGAGTTTCAGCAAGACAAACAATCAGATAGATTCCTGCTCGTTTTTGAAGGATCCCTGTCGATTTCATGCATTGATAGACTACACTCTGAGATGGTCCATCTGTTCGGCCATCTAATGCATTGATAAATGCTTCTGCGAATATCACAGGCTCGTCTTTCAGGTCATTCCGAACATATCTAAATAAACTTAAAATGTTGAAAATGATTTTTAGATAACGGATAACCTGCTGAGTTCTCTCGCCGCATCAACCAAAGAGCCGCCAGTAGTAATCCGACTCCGATATTGTGCTGCGAGCGCGCACGCTGCGTCGATGCCTTGCTGAAACTCGATTTCCGGCTCTAAATGACCATTCTTGCCATTTCTTCACTTACTTTCCGATGTTTCTCATCGAAATTATTTATAACTGGCGATTGGTTCGGATTTGATGATGTGGTTGGTGTCTTCTGTTTGTCTGCTGACATTTGAAAAGCTATCCCGTGTTGTTGGAGCATTTCACACGAAGACGCCAATAACTAGTGCATTGTTTCGCTGTTAATTCAATATTGAATCTGTTAGAGAGCTAGATTAGCAGGTAAACGAAAGGGTTTCTGACCCGAAAAAATAAATAAAATATTCAACATGATCATAAAAACCTTTTTTTTAGAACAAAACAAGGAAGAAAACAAGAATAAAGTGATAATATAATATGCCTACTACACTATAAAAATCATCTGATAATTCATTTATCTATTGAAAACCCGTGGTGCTCCTCTCTTAAATCTGTCCATATCTTCTGTTCGAGCAGCCCGTCTCTTCTCATCGTCCAGCCTGTCTCTATTCTTAAAGAATTCCTTCTCCTGCCAAAGCTTCTGCATCATGTAGGCGTCGTCGTCAAGATATGGCGTTTCGTATTTTTTCTTTCCGGGCTGTGGTGGGGAGTAATGCTCTGTTGCTTGTTTTCTGAAATATTTTGTGACTTTTTAAATATGGTTTTTCCTTTAAAACTTACTCATAAGTGAATCCGGCGAAAGAAGTGATGGTTCTCTTTCTTGGATCAGCCGATTCGCCAGTTTCCAATTTGAATACAGCATCGTTTCTCTCATGAACCACTGTTTCGATTCGATCCATTGACTGAAAAACCACAATTTTCTTTCCTTTTTCTCAGACAGTATTACCTCTTGAACGCGATCGATTCTCTCTGGGTTCGGCATGTTTCGTGCACGTGAAACATGCGCCTTCTTCATCGTTATCAGCATGTTTCGCTCTTTTAAGCATACGTACCTAGAAAATTCGATGAAATTTAAAACTAAATTCAAGGCTCACCAAAGTTTATGCAAATCTGAGTTACTTTTCAGTCGCAATTCTTCCTCTGTCCATGATCTTCCAGGCCGCGCCTTGGGGCGGAGCTCAGCTTTTCCGAAATTCGCTTCGTCGTCGAAGAATTGCTTCATTGTGCTGGAATGCCGAGTTGCAGCGACATTTTGAGATCTGAATTAACACATTTATTCAGGTTTTTTATGAGGAAAGCAAGTCTTACCGCACCGCCGACGACATCAAACTCGGTAAACTACGCCACATTGTTGCTGGAGACCCTGTAACGCAAAAAAAACGATGAAATAGATATTTAGCAAGCACAGAAAATTATCTCAGGACAATTAGAAGCATTTTTCTGAAAGCCTGATGAGAAAATTGTGACAGGTGCAACTAAAAAGTGTATTTTGCTCAAAAAATTGGAAAAAACTGTGCGTCTTGCAATCGCGCTCTGTTGGACTATTGATGTTTTTGTTAGCGGAAGTTCAAAAAATATTGTTTCCAGGAAATTTTTTGAAGAATCAACTTCAAAATATCCTTCCTGAGAAGATTAGTTGAATTTCTTGATAATAATTATCACAAAACATCAAAATGTAATACTAAATAAATTTATCAAGTTTCCTTCAACAGAATTCCGAAAACTCTGCCCGGATTTGGCCTTAAAGAGTGTTCTGCGATTTGTTCAGACGACAAAATTCAAGGCGTCACGAATATTGCAATCATGCCAATCGGAGCAATACTTTCTGGCAAATGTGTCGGACCAGCCAAGATAACTGCAAAAATTAGGAAAAGAAATAGACTAAAATGAAAGGCGCGGCGTTATATTCTTCGAAAGGGAGCTTTCAAGAATCTCTTGAAGTTTTTAAAACTAATCGTTGTTCTTATACAGACGAAAAAGAGGAGTAATCATATAAACATTTGAATATGATTTTCAGTGTGAGTGTGGAAACAGAAAGCTAAAAATCTTCGGTGGCTGGTTTTTTGAGAGCTTCTTACTCGTGTCCTATGAACTTGTACGTGCATATCTAGCTTTAAATGGTTTCAGCACTCGGTTGCGGGATAATTTGCAGAACGCCAGGACTAGCAAGAATATTTACTTTATACACTTGAGTAAAAATATTATTTCGGCAGATATTCGATGTCTGAAAGTGATATTTAGAATTTATGCTCAAAGCTAAAAAAAAATAAATATTCCGTCTTGAAATGAATCACTTGAAACACCAAAAGCCAAGAGCTGTGCCTGTTTAAAGCGGCATACTGTAAACCTGTGAGATGCGTTGTTTGAAATCAAATTTTCGTACGTTTTAATTGAAATTTGTTGAAGCACATGCAGAGTTTCACAGAAATTTGTTCCAAAACTTGCACAATTTTGATGGAATTAATAGATTTTCATCAACTTTGAAAATATCACAGAATTTTCAGATTTAAAAAAAACCAGGAAAATAGAAAGGCCCTTGTAATTGCCCTTGGAACAATAGCAAGGAAAAAAACAAGAAATCGAGGTAACAAATTGGAAAATCAGACGGATTACTGTAGGGGAAAAACAATCGAAAATGAAATGGGTTACACACTTTACAAATACGGTTGAAGACTGAATTTGAAGCCGAGGATCAATTTCCACAAATCGGAACAAATGGATTGCTCATTGAAGAACATAAATCATTTTCCTTTGAGGTGTACAGATTCCAAATGGACATATGCTACCATGTTCGGTCTGCCTACAAATTTACGGAATTTCGAAATCATTATTTTTTGCGGAATTTCGGATCATTACTTTTGTGAAAAAAACATCTAGGTCACGGCCTAAAAAATCCAGGCCATGACCTAAAAAAAACTACGGCACGGCCTAAAAAGTCTAAGCCATGACCTAAAAAATATAGCTCACAACCTAAAAAAAATCCAGGACACGACCTAAAAAATCTAGGTCACGACCTAAAAAATTTAGGTCATGACCTAAAAAAACTAGGTTACGACCCCAAAAAAGCAAACTAGTTCACGAACTAAACAAAATCTGGGCCATGACCTAAGAAATCAAGGTCAAATTTGAATGAAAAATATTTGAAAAGTTTTAATTGAGTCAATGGAGCAGTTTTTTTGGTTCCAGTTTCAGTCGGCCATTTTCAGCACGTGAATAGGATTTCAAAGTATTGAAAAAAAAAACTTAATTAGAATTTAAAATTTTGAATAAAAAAACTGAAAATTTGACGTATTTAATTTCAAACGTATTGACCCTATTTGAAAAAAAGCCGACTGCAGCCGCACTAAAAATATACAAAATCACACTAAAAATATACAAAATCAATTTTTTTTGGGCCGTATTTTTGCATGACATTGTGATCAAATAAAGTTGAAATGTATCCAATTTATATTGGTTTCAGTCAGATATATAGAAAAGATATCAACTGATAAATTTTTTATCATAAAATCAGCAACATTTTGTCAGTTGACATATATTTGATATCTTTCACAGGAACCGAGAAATATGGGCTCAAAGTTGGCGATTTGAGTGGCTATCTATTAGTGTGTTTACTGTACTTTGAGCTCAGTATTCTGATTTCGTGTAAAATATATCGATAAATAAGCAACTGATAAATTGTTTATCATATAATAGCAACATTTTATCAGTTGACACTTTTTTGATAACTTTCACGGGAACTCAAATATATGGCCTCAAAGTTGTCATGGAAGGGGGGGGGCTGTTAGCCTCTATCAGAGTTGCACGGACAGTCCGCTGTCCGCTGTCCGCTGTCCGTGGACAAAATGTTCTATCCGGTGTTCGGTGTCCGTAGAAATTTCCTTTGTCCGTCCGTTTACTAGAAAAATTTGAATTCAAATTTTCCCTTTAAAACAGCTGTAAAAATGGTGGATGAAATCCGATTTTATTTTCCATGGCTATTTTCCATCGGTAAATTCTATTTTTCCAGCAAAAAATCGTCGATTTTGGAAAATGTTGTCCGTAGAATAACGAATCCGTCTCCATAGGCCTGCGAAATCAAATCACGACACCTATAGCCAACGGAGAATATTGGTTCATGTTTTTCGAGAACATTCTGTGGTGGGAAGTCTGTTTATTACTGACATTTTGAATTGCTGGTTTTTTTTAGTCCTTTCGCGACACTTTTAATTGAATTCTAGAAGATCTTGAGCTCTGAAAATTCAGGAAAAACAACTTTTTAAAAAGCCATTGTTTTTTTTTGAAAATGTAAACATCTTATAAACTTTCGTATGACTTTTCTCAATTCTCTCTCAAATGAAAACAATTCGTACAAAATGTCAAATGTCAATTTCTGAAGTTAGCCAGAGGTCGTTTCTGTTGTGTCAGGTGTTGTCTCCCTTGCGGTTGTAACCTCTCTCAGTGGTCGTACCAATGCACTAATGCTCATTGAGCACAAGAAAATGAAGAAGAAGACACAATCAGTTTGAAATGAATTGAAAGATAGAAGAAGAAGAAGAAGGTGGACGAGGGTGTTCAGGATAAGATAGAAAAAGTTTCATTTCATTTTCCAATTTCCCTCATTTCCTCTATCACCCCCTATCGACTTTTATCACAATTTTGCCACATAAAATTAGAACAGAAGAGCTAAAAAGTTTTCTAAAAATCTGCTGACTATGGTTAGGCAGATTTATTGGTACAAAGTCTTAAAATTTAGGTTTTTGGGTTTTCGATTTGTGCCAAGTTTTCGGAAAAAAACAAGTTATTTTCTTATCACTGAAATTCGAAAATCGCAGAACCTTACCACTTAAAAAAAGTTTATTCAACTAAAAAAATATGTCACTTTTGGCTCTCAAACCCGTTGGAGTTTCAAAATCTATTCAGACAGTTATCATTTGATCTAGTCATTTGAAACAGAAAAATCTTTAAAAACACTCGAAAAGAACCCTATACTTGCATATTCAGCCTATATATCTAGGTTTCTGTGAAAGATATCAAAAATGTGTCAACTGATAAAATGTTTATGATGTTATGATGTACAATTTATCAGTTAACAACTTTTTGCTGTCTTTGACAGGAAATATGATAAATCGTCTCAAAGTTAGAAGTTAGGAAGCTTTTCTATTACAGGTTTTACGGGTGCACTTTTGTACTCTACGAATTTTTTGTATAATTTTATTCAACTGGATAGCGATAATTATTATTTGATCTAGTTAAAATCAGTTAATAGAAACTTTTTGAAACCAAAAATTTATGAGAATTCTGCCACCCGTTTTCAATTTACTTTCTCTTATTCTTGCTTCCTCATTGCCTCGCTTTTCATCACTTCCCTTTCAAGCCATAATAAATTTTTCAGCGTTCAAAATGTCGTATTCAAATCGAGACAGCTCTAGCCTTCGATACAGAAGCGGAAGTGTTGAGAGAAGATCCATAACGTCTTCATCAAAAGCCCCGTACAGGACGAGTTATGGGACCGAACGAGGAAGGGTTAGTTTTTCATCTGAAATCTAAAATAACTGAAAAACTTGGCGGAGAAATTGAAAAAGTAAGCCACAAGTTATGTAACACACAACTAGAAAATTGAGAGGCAAAAATAAGGTAAAAAACTGTAATATAACGCCACCTGTATTAGAAGACCCCCTCTAATACAGCGTCACCCTTAAAGGGCGTTTACAGGTAGCAAAACAAAGCCTTTATTCTCGATTAACACAGTAATAGTGAAATCTACTAATTTCGCCCCATTTTTTCCTTTTGGTACCCTTTTAAATAAGTCATACTTGTAATCCGGCCTTTGCCGGGCCTTCGCGGGCCCTGCCATAACTTCTTTCTTAATCTGTATTTTCGAACCAACTTAATTAGATATGATAGAGTACTACAAAACGGTATTATTTGGAATACTGTATCTTGTCTATGAACAAAGTTACGGAGCAAAAGGAACAAAAAATGCAGGCCCCGCCCGGGCCTGCCGGGCCCTGCGAGAAAAGCCACTTTATGATATGTAACTTTGTTCATTGATAAGATACAGTATTCCAAATAAAACCGTTTTGTAGTACTCGTGGAGCTCTATCCTATCTGATTTAGTTGGTTTGAAAATATCGATTCTGAAAGAAATTATGGCAGGGCCCGTGAAGGCCCGGATTACAAGTATGAAATAAGTAGAAAGTCAATTTTTGTTACCTCGCATCAACCCAAAACACCCCTTTGAAAAATAGAACGCCATGGGGCTATATTACAGGTTTTACGGTATATTGATTTTGAGAGTCTGATATCCTCAAAAATACGTTCGACTGAAAAAAAAATAATGAAACTGAATTTTTTTTTCTAGAATCGAAGAAAAATTAAAATTGAGATTCTTTTTTGTAACTACCGTAAACACTCTCATAGAATGACTCCCCTAACTTTTACCTTTGAGCCAATTTATCTCTGCTCTTGTGAAAGGTATCAAAAAGTTGTTTACTGATAAATTTTTTATCAGAATATCACGAAAATTTTATTAGTTAAATACTTTGCGATATCTATTACAGGAAATGATATAATCGAGCTCACAATTGACAGTTTTGGGGGACTCTATTAAATAGCTGGAAATAAAATTCAATCAAGAGTCTTCAAGACAACTATTCATCAACAAAACTATATCCAATTTTGAGATTAAACGATAAACTTGAAACAGTAGAAAAAAGTTTCACTTTTCTAGATACCGATATTAAGTTTCTAAAAGAAAACCAACAAAAAAACACCAAAGGCTCACACATTGGGTCTCACCACAAGAATTGTAACAAACACAAATTCTTTGAGAATGAGCAATGCGGAGAGCCCACTGAAAACATGCACATGTTTACTGCTCGCCAGCAAAAACTGGGAGGAAAAGAGACCGATAAAAGTTGTCAATCACTCGATGTTCCTTCGGCTCTCTTTTGCCTAGATCATGGATTCTCGGAACCGCCTGGCATTTTTAGTTTTCCCGCTGCTTTACTATGCGATTTGTGTTGAAATAAAAATTTTCGAAATTTATATTACAATGAATTCTACGAATTATCAGAAATTTAGTTTTTGTTTGAATATAAGCCCTTGAAATATTAAAAAGACGTCAATTTTTCAGCCTCGAGACCTTCCTACAACAACAACTAGAATGTCTCGTGCCACTTCCTACGACCCTTTTGCATCGTCGAATCGAGCAAGCTCCGTGATTCGTGGCAGTGGACTATCGAATAGCGATTATACACCAAGAATTGGTTCATCTTATACGAGCAGGTAATTCGAAAAATCCGAATGACATACCGTAAAATCTGTAACAGAAAGTTCTTAACTTTGACCCAATTTATCCCGTTTCCTGTGAAAGATATCAAGAAATGGCCAACTGACAAAATGTGTATCAAAATAGCACAAACATTTTATCAGTTGACACATTTTTCATATCCTTTACAGGAATTGAAATAAATTTGCTCAAAGTGGAAAGTGTAACTGATTGTAATTTCAGATACGGTAGCACTGAGCAATTGAATTCCTCCGCCTCCTCCAAATCTTCATCATACCGTCCATCTTCTTATCGTTCTGGGTCAATAACATCTGGAGGGAATACAACGGTGGGAAGTGCCACGTCATCGTATACTCCGAGGAATGTGAGAGCGGGAAGTGTCAGTATTGGAGGTGACAATCCCATTACATGTAATACATTGACTCTATTTACTTTTTCTTGATTTTGATATTTTAGTGAAGCAGAAAATTTTGAATATTTTTTACATTTTCAAATGAGCCTGCCGTAAAACCAACAACATTTTATCAATTAACACATTTTTGATATCTTTAACGGGAACCCAGACAAATTATCTCAAAAATGACAGTGCGTGAGCCCTTCTATAACAGATTTTACAGTCTCAAAACTTTCTAAGGACTCTTGATAAACTTGAAATTAATGATTCATGAAATTCTCAGTTTTGCTGCTAATAAATCAAAACCCCTACTTCATTTTCCAACATCTTTCTGTCCATTCCTCCCCTCCCAATAGTACTCTTCCATATGTTTCACATATGTTTTTAACAGCGTACGACCCTCCTCGATCCACTCATTCTGACTCGGTGTCCTCATCATCATCGTCGACTTTTTCAAGATATCGACCCGATAATTCAATGTAAGATTTATTTTTTTTCAAATTGTTTTTACAGTTTCAGCAAATCAGTTTTAGCAAAAAAAAACAGTCGGAGATGCGTATTCTTAATTTGATATTCAGATCTTCCTATACTCCGAGCCTCTCGCGCTATCGCTCCACAGATTTATCGCCTACATCTGACTACTCGACTTCCAAATACCGTAGTCCGGACAATAGCTACAATAGCAGTCGATGCTCTTCTACAGTATCTTCTGGAAACCGATATTCACATAAACCATCATCCGCATATTCCTCGAGAACATCAACCTCGAGTTCTTATAGAAGTGACCGAGATTATAGGTCAATGAGCAGAACTACTGATAACGAGGTGAGCAAGGAAAAAGCAAAAAAAAGAAACTTCCCATGCCGGGAATCGAACCCGGGCCGCGTGGGTGAAAACCACGAATCCTAACCACTAGACCACATGGGATCTGTCACACTGTTGTTGAAATGACATACACATTACACGCGTTTGTTTGTAGGAGGAGGTGGACGAAATCGAAAGTACATTTCGCAAGTTGTATCGAAAATATGTCACTGATAGTGAGCCGGATTTATCGAAAACTGGAGATAAAGAGGAATCGTTGGCGGAAAAAGTCGCACGTCGTTTCGAATCAAAAAGTGAAGCGGAAGACGATGATAAATCGATTTCCGAGGAAGACGAGGATGAAATTCTGACGAAATATCAAGCAAAAGGATTGAGAAGAGTGAGCTTAAAACTAATTATCTGTAATTTTTGGTATTTTCCAGGCTAGCTCAGCGAGCTCTATCACCCCACGTGCCTCTGTTTGTAACTCTCCGAGCAAAGACGTTACACCAAAATGCTCTCCATTACCAGCCAGAAGAGTGAGCAATTGTTTTCGGTTAAAGATAAAACATTTCAAGTTCAGGAGCTCCAATCAAAATCCGAATCACGATCCGTGTCTCCCGAGATGAAGCCGCTGACCAGGAATTTCCAAATGGAGGCTACATTTGGAAGTGTAGTTCCAGCTAAAAAAGTTGAAGAAAACGTCAAAAAGGGTTCAGAAGACGTTCCCAAGAAACCGATCCCAAACGATGTTCCGAAACTAGTAGATATGAGTTCAGACGAAGAAGAAGAACTTTCGACATCTGAAAAAGATGAAGAAGGACCAATAAAGAATGCTCCAGAACCTGTGGAACCCATCAAAAAAGTTGTGTCATCTATAAAAATCAATGGGATTCCGGTGAAGGAATCTGAGCCGGCGGTTCGAGAAGAAGCAGTGAAAAAAGAAGAGGTCGTGGCACCAGTTAGAATAAGAATCCGAAGTGATCGATCACCGTCAAAAACAAGAGAGGTGGGTTTTTCAAAAAAGTTTTCCGTTTCGAAGAATTTTAGACAGGAATTTTGTTTTGAAGAAGTACTTCTCTCCTTTTTCAAATAACCCACACGCATGATTAATAATCTCGATTCCTGTGCAAGGTATCAAAAATATGTCAACTGATAAAATGTTTGCGATATTATGATAAACACTTTATCAGTTGACAACGTTCTCATATCTTCAACAGAAATTGAGAAACAACCTGTAATAGTAGGGCACCAATTTTTAACTTTTAGCCAAGTTATATCGATTCCTGTGAAAGATATCAAACATGTATCAACTGATAAATTGTTTATCATAATATCACTAATATTTTATTAGTAGTTTTGATATCCTTTACAAGAATAGAAATAAATTGGCTCGAAATTAAAAGTTGGGGGGGGGGGGGTCCTTCTATAACAGGTTTTACGGCGTTTCAAACTTTTATGTTTCAATATATGCTAGTAAGTTGTAAGTAATAGAATAATTTGTTTAGATATGTTCTTAATCACCGTGGATCTTCTCCAATTGCAAAACTTTTACATCTTTGATACATTTTCTCCAATTGCAAATCAACAAAAATGTGTCTTTTTTTATTTTTAAAAAACTACTTTTTCGAAACGATTATATCAAGTTTTTATGTTACAGAATTTTGTTTGATGTTTTTTATGGTTTCCTTGCGAAAAAAAAGTTACCGTAAAACCCTTCTATTGTTCCAAGGTTCCTCCGGAGGATCTTTCTATTAGCCTTCAATTACAGCGGGCCCTTCTATTTTTCCGAAAATGTTTTTTCGGAAAAGTTTTGCGAACTTTCGAAATGCATGAAAATCCATAAAATTTACCGAAATTAGGCAAGTGTTTCATCAAAAACCCGTTTTTCAACAGATTCTAGTGAAATTTCCGGAATTTCCGGAACAGGTTTACTTAAAACGTTTTTAATTTCAAACAACAATTTTTTAAAAGGGGCTTCTATTACAGGGAGGTCCACTATTTTACCGAGGCCTTCTCAGAGGGCCCTTAAATTGAAGGGACCCTATTAATACAGGTTTAAACAAAGTTGTAAATAATAGAACAATTTTTTAACATTTCTTCTTAACCTGTCTGGATTGTCTCCAAGTTCTACACTCATTATTCAGCAAAAATTTATTCTTTTATTAAAAAACCACTGTTTCGAAATGACTACATTAAAATTGTATTTTAGAGAATTTCGTTAAGTGTTTATTATGCTTGTCTGAGAAAAAAAAGGTTAGAGAGTATTTTTTGCAGTCTGAATACGGTAGCGATATTGAAGCGGAGAGCCTAAATAGCACACAAACGGTGGAGACGCATACACATTTTCTCTGCGTCTCAACCTTTTTATTCTCAGACAAGCATAATAAACAACATTTACAAATTCAGGTACCTTCCGAATCACCTAAATCACCGGAAAATCTCATCTCATCAGCCGTGAATATTGTACTAAATCACCCGGATCCGCCGTCAAAACCAACAGAAAAACCAATCGGAAAATCCGAAGAGTTCTCCAAAGAAAAATCATCAGAAAGTGACACTACAACTACATCATCCAGAGGTTCTTTTCTTTTTTCTTGATCCCAAACTTTCGAACAGCTGTTTGCAATGATCAGAAGCTCTCGGAGCAGTCCGAAATCTTCTTTTTTTTTCTTTTTGTTCTCACTGAGATTTTCTTTTCTTCTTCTATTTCTCTCTATTGTGAAGAACCACCACAACAATGTATAGAAGAAAAGATATGAGCGAGCAGCAGGATTTTGAAATTTGACGCCTACGATTTTTAGTCATTTTTTGTTATTTTTTTTAAATTTTTGCCGAATTTCAGCATCAACTCTACGAAAACGTCGTGATCCGAATCGAACGTTGGAGAATTTACAGACAATTTTGAAGGCTGAAAAAATGTATAATGGAGAGGAAAAAGAGGAGAAAAAACAAGAATTGAAAGAAGAAGAGAAGGGAGAAAATGATAAGGAAGAACAGGAAAAGGTGAGGATTCTAGGAAATTCTCAAAATTTTTAAATTGGACTTTAAAAAACCCCTGATAGAAGCTCACCCAAATCGTCAAATGTGAGCTCAATTATCTCGATTACTGTGAAAGGTATCAGAAATTATTCAACTGATGAATTATTTATCATAATCTCACCAAAATTTCATCAGTTAACCAAGTTTTGATGTCTGTCACAGGAATCGAGATAATTGAGCTCGAAGTTGATGGTTTCGATCGGCGTCTATTAGAAAGAAAACGGTATCTTTTGGATTTTGAAAGTTAGCATGATCAATTCTACCGAAATGAAATAATTCACCGATTAGAAAAATTTATCAGAAAGTAATTTAACAGAGATTTGAAACAACCAAATAATTAGACCCATATTCTGAAATTAGGCAAAATAATCTCATCATACGATAGATGACAGAAAAACGGAAACTGAATGAATAATTTTTGAGAATAAATTTCATATACCGTAAAACCTGTAATAGAAATGCCCCTGACTTGCAACTTTGAGCCCAATTATCTCGGTTCCTGATAAATATATCAAAAATGTGTCAACTGATAAATTGTTTATCATGATAGCAGCAACAATTTATTAGTTGACAAATTTTTTACATCTTTATCAGGAACCGAGATAAATGGGCTCAAAGTTGAAAGTCAGGGGGCACTTCTATTACAGGTTTTACGGTAATTTTCTCTAAAAACCATTAAAAAATTTGCAGTTTCAAGAAAAAAGTAAGTTTTGAATGAATAAAAAATAAGCGATGACAATTAGTTGAAGTGTGCCTACTTGTATTATTCTAATTCAAAAAATTAGAACCGTGGAAAAGAAGCGCCGGTAGTCGCTGCTGAAGGTCCCACAGCTACCATAACCTAAAATATCGTTCATTTTTCGCAATATATCGATTTTCGTGCGTTTTTTCTACTTTTTCGGTGAAAAATAACAGAAAATTCGATGAAAATAATTGAACAACAAGAACTTAAATACGACAAGTAAAAATGTTTTTAGGTTACGATAGTTTTCGTTGTCGGACGTTCGGTCACTGCCACCGTCGTTTCTCTTCCACAGCACCAAATTTTTGTACCATTATAACATCTTAATAATGTTTTTTCGTTTAAAAGAACATTCAAAATTTCGCTGTTTCATGAAAAAACTAAAAATTGAATTCAAAAATTATTAAATGATTTGTTTGAGTCTCAAATTTGAAAAACTTTTTTTTTCAGAAAATCCGTCGAATCCCGATCCCATTGGTTCTAATCACCGAACCATCGAACCCGTCAACTCCTCTTGCTACAACTCCTGTTACTACTGCAGCCAGTATCTGCCTCTGGAACAATACAGATGCAAAAAGAACGTCATCATCAACGGAAGAAGACGAGGAAGAATATTATGAGGTTAGAAATAAATTTCCTGTTTCAATACAAAACTATTAGTATGAATAGAAATTCCGAAGCATTGCATGGTATATTTTCATGTTCAGGACGAAGAAGAATATTCATCCGGAGAGTGGACAGAAGGAGATGATGATGAAGAGTGTAAGCTTCCTTACCCTGGAGGCATTTTCAAGTAAAATCTATTTTCAGATCTAACAGACGAGGAAGAAGAGTATTCAGTGTCCCAAACATTTTCCCTTAAAGATCATATCAACCTTGGCGAGCTTTATCCTCTTGCTACATCGACATCCAACACATCTGCTTTGGTTTCTGAATTCGATGGAGATGCTTTCTTGGTTGATACTCGGAAGGAAGAATCGAGAGGACGTGTGGATAGTCTTTTTGCAGTTCCAGCTCCAACCTTCACTTGTAGTGTCACTTACGATGGAATGTTGCCTGGAGAGGATGATGAGGAGTGGTCAGATGAGGTTCACAGTTGTGAAGAAGGAGACGATGAGGATTTTAGAGGTTAGTTAGAAGTTGGTAAAAAAAGAGTGTAACCGTCAAAGAATCAGTGACCGCTGAAATAAAAACGGTGGAACAGATAAGTAAACAATTTTCCAAGATAAGAGTGCCATTAAAAATAATTTTTTCCAAAAAACCCTTGAAAAAATGTACACATCGCACTTTCAGGAATATTTCATATTTTCGAAACAGAAAAATTGAACTATTAGCTGAGAATAAACATCATGATTTCTTCTAAAACTTAAAAAGCCAAAAGTTGAGAGGCCCTTCTTTTACAGGTTTTACGGTAAATCTGATAAATAGTCAGCTTACCTAATTCAGTTTTACCGCCAAGATTTTCTTTTATCATTGCCAGTTAAATTTTGAGAACAGTAATGATTGAAGGTATTCATTTTATGGAATAATGAGCTAGTGAAACAGATATATAAACTCGAAATTGTTCAAACAACATCTCTAAGAATTCATTATCTCAGTCCTCCCAATCGCTCGTCCTGGATCCTCTTCCCTCGGCGCCTACATGTCACCTGGAAGTATGACTTCTGATGATGAAAATGGTTCAAATTACGATGGAAGAACAGTTGGATGCACCTTGAAATTGGTAGATAGAGCAGCAAGAAAAGATTCAGAAGAGTCAGATGAATCCGAATATTACGATGATGAAGAAGAGATTGAGGATGAGGAATATGAGGATGAAGAGTATTGGGATGAAGAAATCGAATATGAAGATGAGGAAGAAGAATACCCGTATGAGGATGAAGAAGTTCTGGAAGAATATGTTGATGAAGAGGAGGAAGAGGAAGAGAATGATGTAACGATGAAAAGTGTAGAGTCTTCGGAAGAAGAAGAAGAGATGAGTGTAATGCTGGAATCAGAGAGTCATGAATTATTTGTTACTCCTCCGATCAAATTAATGACGGAGAGTTTTGTGGAGGAGATGATTGAGGAAGCATGTTATGGAGAGATTCCAGAAGAGACACTCTTCGCGTTGGATGAGGTGGAAGTCGAGGATTATACGGTGAGATTCAGGGAAGGTAGTGAGCTATAAATGATTTTTGAAAATTTTCAAAGTGTATATAGTCTGGAAGCTTTTGAAATTTCTAATAATTATGTGTAATTTCCATATTTCTAGCTTTTCCTGAACCGACTTATACGCTTTCAAAGTTTAGAAGAGAGACGCAGAGAAACGAGAGCACTCTCGTCGCCTAGCGCTGTCCCTCCCACTTTAATGGCGCGTAACTCTGTTCAAAGTTGTCTGCTTTCAATGCATTTTAGCTAGATTTGTAGGAAATTTCAAGAGCTACAAAGTCTTCAAATTATGATTTTCAGGGTCAAAAAGACGTCCACCTAATTCCGACATTCGTTCGTCAAATGACTGAAGACATCCGTGAAGAATCGACATCTCGTTTTGCTACCGACAGAAAGCCAGCTACCGATTTTGCCAAAAAAGCTGTAATTCAACCGACGAAACTGGAAAAAGTTCAAGTCGGAACGAAAATTGACACGAAATTGGCACCAAGTGAGGAGGAAAAGAAGAGGATGAAAGAGGAGGAAGAGAGGAAAAAGAGAGAAGAAGAAGAGGAAAAGAAGAGGAAAGAGAAGGAATTGGAGATGAAGAAGAAGAAGAAAAAAGAAGAGGAAGAAAAGGAGAAAAAGGAGAAGGAAGCTAAGCAGGCAGCAGTTTTGGCTGCTGGCAAGGTTAGTTTCAATTATGACCCGAGTACATTTCAGAGTGAAATATGTATTTGAAATTTTGTGATTTGCCAATCTTGTAACAGTAAAAAAATTAGGTAAAGCAACTAAAGAACTAGCGTTATTGTCTATTCAAAATAATCGCGCGAGTGAACGAGGGAAAATGTCTGCGTCTCTACAGCGCCTCTACAGGTTTGGAGACTCTCTACACGTTTTTTTACTCGTTCATCCGCGCGATTACTTTGAATAGACAATATGTAGTTATTCAGGTGAGGCAAAAAATTCTGAAACTCTTATCAAAAGTTGGGGTCTGAATGTCCGCTTGGAAAATGTCGTCTGAAATTCCAGCCAAATTTTCGAAGGGCATATCGTCGGAATTATAAAACTGCGACCTGCGTGTTTGCAGACTCAGTGAAGTACTGAGTCTGCACACCCCGAGGCCGCAGTTTTCTAATTCCGACAATATTCCGACAATATTTTTTCTAATTCCGACAATAATTTTGGCAATATGTTCCTTATAGTTTTCTCCAGTTTCACCCAAAGTTTCAGCCAGATTGGTTTACTCTCTGATTTTTCACGGGGTTTTTGCTACGTTCAGCTGATTCGCTATTTTTTCTAAAATTTCAGGAAGACAAATCAGCTCTCCGGAAGTCCGCACTGAACATGAAAGATGAAGATGCCAAGAAGAAAGTTGCAACGGATGAGGTATCCTACAGTATCCTAAAGTAATCCAATTTCCCTTTTCAGAAAGTTGCCGCTCAAAAAGCCCGCCGTTTTGGTACCGTATCCGCGATGGCCGGAAAATTTGATGAATCTGAGGAAGTGAAAGAGAAAAAAGAGGAAAAAGTGTTGTAAGTTTATTCAAACGATTCATTGAAATTCAAGTTCTCAAGTAGCGACTTCTTTGCTTCCAGTCTGTTGATAAGTCTCACAATGAGTTTTGAGGAAAATCGAAACTTGTGAAAAACTGATAAGTTCTCCTTTGACTGCTTGAATCTCTTTGAGAACTTTGTCCATTTCCGATGGAGTGATTTGTCCGTGGGATTTCAGATAAATTATGGTACGCATTAGAAGATTTCTGGAAGTAGTTTTTTTTGTTACTTTTCTTATAATTTCTGTCTCACTTGTTGATTCCAATATCACTGAGCGCAGCAGCCAAATTTTTCGAAAAATCCGTCTGCTTATTGTTCATGTCGTGACGATTATAGGCGATCCAGTCGAATGATTGCTAAAGTTATCAATTTTTCTGTGAAAAGGACATTGTATCATAATCGAAATAAAAAAGCAGTTTTAACTAGATAATATTATTTTAGTGAAACAGTAATAATTCGAAAAACGTTTACCTTTCTTTCGGCACTCATTCCAATACGTTCCAAATACATTCCAGTCCTTCCAACCAGATCCAAATCAACTTTTTTGATCTCAATTCTGTTGACTTTTGTGTCTCCGTGATTCAAAACGAAATCTGGTTCTGGAGGTGGTTGATCCAGATCCGAACGTTCAGCTTCGACTATTTTGACTCCACACGCTGGAATTATTTTTTTAGGATGAAAAATATCGTTTTATGTACATTTATCAGATTTTTCTTTATTTGGGTCCGGCTCAATCTTTCTGATTTGCTTGCCCGGTGGTCCTGGAACTATTGGAGCAGCAATGTTGAGCTGAAAAAAGGAAATTTTTGAAAGGAATACCGAAAAACTTTGACCCAATTTATCTTGCTTTCTGTCAAAAATATGGAAAAGTTGTCAACTGATAAATCGTATATCATAATGCCAAAATTGTTTTGTCAATCGACACTTTTTGATATTTTGCATAGGAATTGAGATAATTGAGCTCAAACTGAGTGGGAGTTCTTCTATTATAAGTTTTACTGTATGATTCGAAAATTGACGGGGAAATATCAGAGATTAATTTTTAGTATCTTTAAAACGAATTTGAAACATTTTTGAAACGGAAAAATTTTTGCCTTTGCTTCGTCTGAATCCTTGGAACTATAGAACGGGCAGGCTCTTCTAATGCAGGTCTTGCGGTATTAGCATTCATTGAAACATAAAAGTTTGAAATACCGTAAAACCTGTAATAGAAAGGTCCTCCCCCCTTCCCCTCCCAACTTTTAACTTTGAGCAAATTTATCTCGTTTCCTGTGAAAGATATCAAAGTTTTGACAATTGCCTTAACTGATAAAATATTGATGTTAACTGATAAAATATTGATGACAGTATGATAAATATCTTATCAGTTGGCATATTTCTAAAATCTTGCGTAGGAATTGAGATAATTGAGCTCAAACTTAAATGACTCACTGGTGATGTGGATTGCGTCTTTTTGAGTTTCAGACTCTCTGATTTCAGTTTCTTGGGATCTGAAGAATCCTTTGGCTTTTTAGGAGAATCCGACCCATCTTTTGGCTTTTTAGGATCTGATGACCCATTGGGGTTTTTAAGGTCTGATCCCACTTTCGGTTTTTTGTGATCTGACGAATCTTTTGGTTTCTTGATATCAGATCCATTTTTTGGCTTTTTAGGAGAATCCGAACCGTCTTTCAGCTTCTTAGGATCAGATGCATCTTTCGGCTTCTTTGGATCCGACCCATCCTTTTTCTTCTCCGGCTTCTCGTCCAAATTATCTCTGTCAGATTCCAATTTCATCTCATCAAATCCATACTTCAATCCTTCTTTTATTATCACTTCTTTCGGCTTCTCTGCCTTCGTCTCAACTGGCTCTTCTTTTTCTTTTGATCCTCGTTTTGAATCCTCCTTCTTCACATCCATCATAGGCGGTCCAACAGTTTCTGGAGTCTTCGCTTCTGGTGTCATCGGAGCCTTTTCTTCTTTCTCCTTCTTCTTCTTTGAGCCATCTGGAGTCGTTCCATCCAAACTGCTTTTTGTCTGTAAATTGGCATAAAAATTGAAGAGAAATTGAAAAAATAAGGGAATTCGAGATCAGTGAGTATTTGCGTTTACATCTGAAACATCTCCAAGAATGTTGTACAGATTGCTCACTTTCTTCTCCGGTGGCGTTGGCGACTTTTCGGTTCCAGGCGGCCCTCTGGAATTATTGCAATTTCAGATAAAAGAAATTTCAGAAATAGAAGATACGGTTTAACTTTCGGCTCTTTTGATTTCTTCTTCTCCTTATCTTCTTTCTTGATTTTCCTCTTTTCCTTATCCGCCTGCTGTTTCCGATGAGCACTATCATCTGATGGTTGAGTCTTCTCAACTCTAAGACTTCCAGATCCACCCTGAACTCCTGTTGTCATCACTGCCTCTTTCACTTTCTTTTCTTCCACTGCTTTCTCCTTCTTTTCCTTCTTTTTCTCTACTTCTCCCAACTTTCCCGTTGTTGGTTTTTTCGAGGCCTGAAATGTGATGAAATCGGTCCCTCACTCTCTCCCCACTGCGCTCTCCCACCACCCCTCTCTTATACACACTCTCAGTCACTTGCTGTCGGATCCCATGTGGTCTAGTGGTTAGGATTCGTGGTTTTCACCCACGCGGCCCGGGTTCGATTCCCGGCATGGGAAGTTTCTTTTTCCTTTTTTTACTTTTATTTTTTACCTTGCTTTTCTTCTTTCTAGGCTTATTTGGATCGTGCTTCGAAGCTTTCTTCATTTTCTTTCCCTTCGAGTCTTTTCGCTTCCCATGTTTGGTTCCATGTTTAGTTCCTTGCTTTGTCGCCTGCTTCGATCCATGTTTCGATTTGATTCCCTTCTCTTTCTTCTTCTTTTTCATTTGAGTCTTTCTATAAGAATTCCAGAAAATATTGAAATTTAAAAATTTAAACCAACTTTTGGACACTCATATTCAACTGATCCTCGAAACGAAAGTATCAATCGGCAAAAAGTTTGGTAATAGTTGTTGGATAAAAACTACGAATTTCATGTTTTTCGTGGTTAATTAAAACTTCCAGATACAAAAAGTCGTCACGTCTAGAGTCCAGAGATGCAGACAAACCAAAAAGAGTCTACGAGGTCATCAAACCAGTTATCAATGATGATTTCGATAAGCAGGTCTGTCTAGTTACTATTAGCTCATAATTCGAATCTCAAAAAATTTAATTACTTTTTGAAACAGTGAAAAAGTTCTAAATTTGAATTAAATTTCTTCAGATGGAAGAAATTCGAAAACAAATGAAAAGTGGATCGAATCAGTTACAAAATAAGATGAAAGACTTGTCAAAGGGTATTCTAACAGCTACAGAAGAGGCTAAGAATAAGGAAATGGAAGAGAAAAGAAGAGTGACGACGGAAAAAGCCACTGGAGCTTTTGGGTAAGTTTTTGTTTTTTTAAGCATACTTGCAACGGGCCGGGCCTGGCTTTTTTAGAATTTCCAATGCCCGGGTTTTCAGAAAAAATGTTCCTGTCTTTTCAAAAAATTATTCGAGGTCAAAAGAAAAAAAGGACGATTTTCTGTCAAAAATTTTTTTTTCCAAGATAAGAGTGCCATTAAAAAATAATATTTCCCGAAAAAACTTGAAAAAAATTCTGAAATTTCGAATTTGGAAAACCAGGGCCCTGTTTTTGCAAGTATTTAAAGATGAATTTTTTGTATTTTAATTGCTATAAAGGAGTCAAGAGAGTCATGGAATTTGCAATTCTTGAGCATAAGTAAAACTTGTGAAGCGGTAAAAATTTTGAGTCAAAAAATTGAATTTTTTGAAAATGTTTTCGTATTTTTTGCATTAAAATGTTCCCACAGTTTTATATATCTTCCTAATGTTACCTCGAAAAATTTCGGAATCTCTGAAAACGGAAGAACGCTCAGTTGTCTTCCAAAAGGGTTTTGCAATGCAATTTTTCTGAAAATTCAGACAAAAAACGACTAGAAACGGGGAAAAATTCTGAAGAATCACATGAAATAACATTGCACACAGTGACCTTGGGCTAGGATTTCCGCGACCAGGGACTTCGATTTTTCCAGAACTTTTTCAGAGTAATATTATGAAAAATACATAACATTGGGAACATTCTAATAAGAAACATTCAATAAAAATGTTTATCACTTCTTAAATAGTTGATTTCCAAAAAGAGTTTAAATTTATCCTAAACCAATCAAAAGAATTATAAAACTTTCTATTCTTGAGCTTTAGTCAATACTGTGAAGTGGTAAAAAATTTCAGTCTCTTCCATGGAAATTACATTTTCAGAAAAGCTGAAGTAGAGAAAGCTCGATGGAAGGCGAACCGAGATGCTGCTGCAGAAATGGAATACGCCAAAATCGAGGCCGAAAAACATTTGAAAAAGAAGCGCATTTTAATTGATAAGCCATCCGGAGAGACGGTTTTAAATGAAAAGGCTGAAGCTCCGAAGAGAACGATTCGGAGATGGAAACCGCCTCCACCGGATCCAAGTGAGTGGGAAATTTGAAATGTTTCAGCTGATTCGTGTGTGAAAAATCCTTACAAATTCCCCATTATTTTTTTGGTGAAATAATATTATATTTTTGAAGCTGAAAATTTTGTTTTTGAATCTGCATGTTTTTTTACAAAATTCCAGACGCCGTAATTCCCTCGTTTTCTTGTGGTCCCAAAGAAGCCGCGAAACCAAAACCAGCGGTCACAGAATCAGAAAATCATCAAAACCATCGACTCCAACAGCTAGAAGAAAGTCTCTGGCTTCTCCAATACCCAAGGATACTGTAGTAACTACAGTAGTCCCATCAGCAGCAATTCAAAACATTCCAAAGAGCGAAGGAGCCGCGGCGACTAGGATTCGGAATCAAGCGGCTGGAGTTGGAACTGCGGTAAGTCATAACATCTCAAAGAAACTCCATCGACATTGTATCCACAGATAATACTTGTCTGGAACTTGAAACAGAAATAAATTTTCTGAAATCAAAGCAAAATTTCCAGGCCCCACCTACCGTACCAGCCGCCGCCTCTCCAGTCCCTTCAACTACCGTACCATCTGTCACTGATTCTCCGAAACCACAGAATCGGCGATACAATGCGAGAAGGAAAACTCAAGAAATTGTAAATGAGTCCGTTGTGAAGCCAAAGGTACGGCCGAGCCGAGCAAAATGTCTTTAATTTTAAAAAATTTCAGACTTGTCGGCGTAAGAAAAAGAATCCAAGAAAAGGCAAGTTCACAAGAACTGATAGAGATGCGGATTTACTATTGGGATACGAGAAGAATTCTACTTTTGAACAGGTTTTTTCCTTTTGCCAATCTCCACTAACTTTCAAATTTTCAGCTTGAAAAACTGTTTGACCAAGCAATGAGAAACCGTCGCCCGCCCACGAAATTCGAGAAGATTCGAAGAATGGCTCCATCAAAAATTTTCATCAGTGAACTAACTGATATTGATAAAATCTACAAGTCTTCTGAAATCAGAGACATCATTGCGTCTGTATTTTTGCTTTATTAATGTGTACTTTTTAAAAATAATCATGACTTTGAAAATAAAAAAACTTAATTGATTTTCAAAGTTGCATCAGCACAATGCAATGTTGTGAAACACTGAAAATTATTAATTTTATAAGATTCGTAAAAATTTTCGACATTTTGAGACACCTTTCTTGCCGCTAACCAGAATAAAAACTACAGTGCCCAAAACTAATTTTCAACAGAACAGTTTTGCAAAATTGATTTATTCAAAAAGTTGTTCGGTTTCAAATGTTTTATAAGCGAGAAAATATTTACAAAATCTTCCGATCTTCCGGTTGATCTTCCGGTTGTTTTCCAGTTATTGTTGAAAACTGAAACTATAAATAGATTTCTCAGATTATACAACAGAACGGTTATAAGTATTTCTAGTCTTGTTATACATGGAAGTGGGAGTTCAACTTTTTTTTTCAATCGAACCGTTTTGTTGGTACCTTTGTTCTGAAAATTTCAGTGATACTAATTTTTCGAGAAGCAATGAATGTTTTTTCCAGCATCTGTTGAGAGCCAAATTTCTTATCGTTTTCGAGGGTTCTAAAACAGAACGTTTCTAATAGTAATTATTTCAGCTTTATTTTTACCTGGAAGCGGAAACTAGGCAACCGGGTTTTCTGTGATTTTCGGTTTCAAATTTTTCATGAAACGACAAGCGATTCACAAGATCTAATTTTTGTGGGATAATCTCATTAAATATTGTGGAACAAGAATACAAACGTCTTATTGAAAACTAAAATTCTGAAATCGCATTTAGTCAAAATCCAAATGAGTTTTAAAATAATTAAATTTTCGTCCAAGTTATCAAGACCACGGCACAATACTATTAGGTTGTTCCAAAAGTTTTCTACATTTTTAAGAGCGCACTGTGCCCATTTCTGTCGATCGATTTATGTTTTCTTTTTTTATTTTAATAATTTTTAGCTCATTTTCAATAAAAATTGCAAGTTTCTTCCCAAAAATCTGAGGCCATGGCCGAGAGCCTCGCCGACAGTACCCAGCAACAGCCACCCGCGAGAGGCATTGAGCATCTACCAAAACGTTCGCAAGATGTGATGGACCATAATGAATAGTATATTACTTACTGAAATATTCCTAAAGTTGACTAAAGTTTTGTTGAAAAAATCTCGAAAAATGTAGAAAACTTTTGGAACAACCTAATATTTTAAAAAAGTCGTGCAAAATAGGATTCCTCACTTGGATTCAAGGCAACGGGCCAGAAATCGCGCCCCGGTGAACGTGAGATTTTAGAAAAAATTTGCTGCTGAAATATTTGGCTGAAGATCAAACTTTTACACGTTGGGCGAAAAAATCACGCGTTGCAACTCGTTGATTAAAATTAATAAGATTAAATTCACGTCAACTTTGAGATTATCAAAGTCCTTCTGGCCTAAAAGTTATTTGGGGCGCTTTTTTTGACCCGTTGCCTTAGACCCAAGTGATTCCTCCAAAAATTTCGGTTTCACATTTTTGATGAAGTAAAAAAATATTTGCGAAATCTAATTACATACCCCCTTGAAATTGTAAAATCTCATTCAGCTTATTCAAAAGTTTCCAGTCATCGCGATCGTGGTCATTTTACTCTCTAATAAAGTGCATATGCACTTCAAGCTCAATTATCTTGGTTCCTATCGAGACATGAAAAAATTGGTAATCTGTTAAACGTTTGTCATAGTATCACTGACTTTTCGAATGCTTGCCGATATTTGATAGCTCTGTTTAAAATTGAGAAAATTTTCGAGGTTCTGTTGAAAAATGAAATTGTTAAATCGCATTCCTTCAAAAATTTCAATGAAATATGTTTGCAAAATTGGATTTATCCGAAAAAAATTCGGTTTCAAATGTTTCATGAAGCATGACAAAAACATTGAACTGAAACTCTCCATTTCCAAGCAAAAAAAGCTAACTAGTTTTTCAGGTTCTATTTAAAACTGAAATTGCCAAATTACATTTATTCAAAAAAATCAAGTAAATCAGTGTTTGGAAAATATGGTCAACTGATATCATTTCATAGTAACAATAACAGGGGGGGGGGGGGGGGTTCTACAAGAAAGTTAATGGTATCTCCTTCGTCGGTTGTTTCCTAATTCTTATTTGTCAAGCAATTAATTTCTTATCGGTTTTTTTTTGTGAATGTGGAAGTTTCGAAAATTTATAGTTTAAAACTAGATTCCAAAATGCGGAATTTTGTAAGACCACAGTTCACAGAACTTATTTACAAAAAATCGTTGCAGAATTGGGTTTGGAAAAAAATTCGGTTTTAAATGTTTTATAAATGAACATAATATTCACCAGATCTAATTATATTCCACCTTGCCATGGAGTAATTTGAAAAAAAAAACTTGTGCTGAAATCTAAAGTTATTGAACCGATTTATTCACAATTTACTCTTGCAAAGATCGGATTCTTCCAAAAGAACTTTTCTGTTTCAAATGTTTTATAGACCAAAGAAATATTCACAAGATCTAATTAGATCCCACCTTGCACGGTGAGTTTTTCACTACCGGTGCAGCGCGCTGCTTTCAACTTTAGAATTTTTGTTCTCGAATTCTAGCCCAAGGATTTTTTTTCGTTCCATAATTCTTTTGTAAATTTCATGAAGAATATATAGTAAAAAATGAATCAGATTTTTTTGTCCATTGTACTTTAAAACGTCGCAGACTGTTTCGCATTTCTTTAGTGAAAAACTCACCGTGAACCTTGCCATAGAATTGAAAAAAAAACTCCAAAATGTGTTGCCAGATAAAATTGTTGTAGAATCAATTCATTCAAAATTGAAATGTTTTTGTTTGCGAAATTCGATTTATTTCAAAAAAAACTTCGGTTTCAAAAAAACTTCGGTTTCAAAGTTTGACTCATGAAGCGAAAAAAATTCTTAAAGGTGGGGGGGACATGAAAAAAATAATGTTCTCGAAATTCCGTTCAAAGATGCCCCTCGAGGAGTTGAACTTGTTGGGGGGATTATTGAGGGTGCGGCGCCGCTACCGACTGAGCTACACGGGCAAAGAAAAAGCGGTAGCCCGATAAAGGCGAGGACGACAGCTGTACGCAGAGTGACATTAAGCGTTGTACACCGTCACGGTAGAATGCATTCTCTGGCCCCAAAAATCCCCCGTAAAATCTCCTGTCCCCCCACCTTTAAGGAAAAACTACTGATGATGTTTTTCTGTTGAGAACTAAAATTGCCAAATCACATTTATTATAAAAACCAAAAAAATCAGTTCATTCACAAGTTTCTCTGGTTTCGTGTGTCTCATGCGTTGTCGTTTTATCTCCTCGTTGAACTTTTTCCAAATCCTTTTTCGTCAAACAACCAATATTCTTATCGCCCTCCCGAACTACTTTCCCCTCGAATAACTGAAACTTTTCAAAATTTATAGGAAGTCATATTTCATAACTCACATCACTGAAAAATTTGTTGGTCAGAAGTTTGTCCCCAGCAAATCGATTTTTTGGGTTGTACACCAAAATACGTCGTAGAATCAGCGTTGCCTTCTTCATGTCCTCCAGTGAAATTTTCTGAAATTTTCCAGTTATAAAAAAATTTCGAGAACTTCTCACCTCATTCATCACCCGACTATTCACATCTTCTTGTTGAAAATCTGATTGTTCGAAGAGATAGGAAAAGTTCAATGATCTCTTGTTATGATCCATTTTGTAGTTTTGAATTATGGGAGTTGATGTAGAATTCGATACTCTCATTTCTTTCAAATCTTCATTGGTTGGTGGTCCAAGAGCATCAAAAATCACTTCGACTTGGTTGACGGAAGACGTTCCAGCCAAGAAGACTCTTCCTTTGAGTAGCTCTCCAAACACACATCCGCACGACCGAATGTCTGGAAAAAAGGAAATGTTAATTGCAAAAATGAGCATAAAGTTAAATCTGTAAGAGAAGGGTCCCCGAAAATTGAACTTTAAATCAATTTTTCTCAGTAGCTTTTTAAGATAATGAAAAACTGTTAAGTTAGGTAAATTGGTTATCATAACATTAGAAGAGGTTTGTTTGTTGACACATGTTTGATACCGTGCAACGAATTCGAGGTGGTTGAGCTCAAACTTGACAATATGGGTGCCCTTCTATTACAGGTTTTCAAAATTGAGCATCAGAGCCCACTTACCAATCTCAATGCCATATCTCCTCGATCCAAGAATCAACTCGGGCGGTCTGTAGTATCTCGTGACGTGGTAACTGTTCAATTCCTCCGGTGATTGAACAAACGACGATCCGAAATCCGAAATTTTCAAAAGACCCGTTTCGGGATTGAAGAGCAGATTTTGAGGCTTGATGTCTCGGTGACATACTTCGAGCTGGAATCGTTTTTGTTTATTTTTGGGTTTTGAAAATTTAATCAAAACAATTTGCTTTTTGAACTTTCAAAAAGATCCTGAAACAGTGAAAAAAATTTGAAACTAACTCTTTGCAGATGTGCTTGTCCTCGAAATAGTTGCCATGTGATCAATTTGACTTCTATCATGTCCAATCTTCGATTTTTGGATTTCAGATACTGGTGGAGGTTTTATGGCATCGATTCGAAGATTAAGGCAAGGCACGTGCGGTCTGAAAAGAAATTGTCTGTTTCAAAACTTTGATAAGAGCTTGGAGAAAAATTATTTTCATTCTGTCATTTTTGAACTCAACTATCTCGATTCCTTCATCCGTCATTTTTGAAAAAACCGTCATTTTTGAACTCAATTATCTCGATTCCTGTGTGAGATACTACAATTTTGTCAACAGATAAATTGTTTCTCATAAAATCACCAATATTTTATCAGTTGCCACTTCTTCGATATCTCTCATAGGAACCGGGATATTTGAGCTCAAACTTGTCGGTCCTTCTATTTCAGGATTAACAGTCATTTACCTTTATGCGTTTTCTGATAACTGTACAACAGCATGACGATATTCTTATGTTTTAATCTTCTCAACATCTCCAGAATGTCCTCTTCGCTGGATTTTCCCTTCTTCTTTGGCCACGTCTTCTTTATCACAACTTCTCTTTTTTCACCATTGTCCGTCGAAGCGATGCCACGATACACGTTTGAAAATGCGCCAGCCGCAAGGAAATTCATATTTTGAAGTTTTAGAAGAATCTGAAAATTTTGAAATTACTCTCATAAATCGAAAGCGAATGCTCACATTCTTGCCAGTTTCAGGATCCTCTACAGAAATTTTGACCGTTGTTTTCTGACTTTTTGTCATTTTCTTCAGCTTCGAGTAGATGATATAATCAAGTCTAGTAAAAGTGAGAATAAGTTGTTTTGATCGTAGAAAGATTAATTTAAAAAAAACATTCTATCAAAATTTTTTAGCGGTGGGTTCACGTAATTAGGTACTTTATCTTTTCAGGTACAAAATAATCGAAGCTGGGAAAAAAAGAGAAACGCCGGTGACCAAAGGTAGCACAACGACAACTACCATAACCTATAAACATTTTTATGTTCCGGATTTCTCGTTTTTCACTGTTTTTTTAATCTTCGCACGTTCGAGAAAAGAATCTCCAACAGTTTTGAATGGAACATTACTAAAGATTCAAATTTTTGCATCGGTTTTGCATTTTGCAAAATTTTTTTATTTTATTTTAAGCTGCCAGAGAAATTGCTTAATCATAGGGAAACTTTTCTAGGTCATAACTCAGCTCACGTGAGCATTTTGCTGATTTTTTAAACAGATTTGGAATCCTCATAAGCTCTTCTATCTGCTCTCAAATTTTCAAAAAAAGTTAAATCCGCCCCCTCAAGTAACTCCCTTGTAAGAACAGCTGTATTGCGGATTTGTTTTCTCGTTTCTCATTGATTTTCGTCGAATTCTATGTTGTTTTTCCCACAAAAATGTCGGAAAATGGAAATATTTTGATAGTGAAAAGTTGACTGAAAATTTACTGAAATCAAATAAAGACTAATGTCTTCCGCATAAATTCTGCACTGAAAGGCATCCTGAAATGGGATTTTGAAACATAAATTTTGCCGTTTCCCAATTCTAACGAGATTTACATAAACCCTATTAAAAACAAAAAATCGGAGTCGTGGAAGAGAAGCACCGGTGGCCGGAGGTACCACAACGACAACTATCGTAACCTAAAAAACTTTGAGGACTTCTTTTTCTCCATTTTCCTGCGTTTTCAGTCAATTTTTTCGTTGTGAAAAGTTTTTATTTGTAGTAATCGTTGTGGGACCTCGGGATACGGTCACCGAGGTTTCTCTTCCATAGCTCCGATTTTTTCGTTCCAGAATGATATTTTTCAGGTACAGAACCGTGGATTGATGAGAAAAAAAGCATAAATTCTACAATGGAATCAAGCTCCAATCTCCGAAAATACTACTCTGAAACCCAAATAATCGCTTTGTAACAGAAAATGTTACATTTCAATTAATTATTTTTTTACCGTTTCATAATTCTTACAAGTTCTAAACGCTATTGTGTATTATGATGACTTAGAAATTCAATAGCAGATAAAAACTTCATATTTCATTTCCAGAGGGAGTATATAATAAATCTGTACAACTCTTCGATTGAAAACATGTTTATTATAACAAGTCACTCTTATTTTCAGTCCCTCTTCGCTTCTTTTTTCCATATCTTTTCAAAAATTCCACCAAATGACCTTCCGATTGCTAATAATAATAATCGCCTTTGAACCATCTGCCTTATTAAAAAGGAATCATCCCGAAATACCGTATTTTTATGATCTTTTCGGCGGTACTGCCCCATCTGTTGCCAGGTAGTTGCAATAAAAATATCATTTTTGGGACATAGATATTTGATATTCATGGGTTCTTAGCATGACCCAGATATTGATTTTTTTCGGAATTTCGGCAAAAATTCAAACTTTTTTGGTTTTCAAAATTTTCCGTTTCAAAAATTGTGTAATCTGTTGAATTGATGTTTTCAGAACTTCCATGAGCAGCTTACACAGTTTTTTTCTCGAAATTTCCAGATTGTTTAAAAAACTCCCTTTCACAGTATAAAGTTCCCTCAAAACTTCAAAAACACAAAATTCCCACATTTTCCCAAAACCTAATTTCTAACCACACAAAGACGTCGTCAGAATATTCAATTTCCCGCCTTTTTCCAAAACATAATGAGATAAATAAATGAAGGGATTACGGTAGTTGCGCGGTATTTTCTCAAGTGGTTCACATCAAATTTTATTGGATTTTATTGGATTTCCGAAAAGAGGAAAATGGGTTAGGAGATGAGGAATTGCGGGAAAATGAGTTAATCGAATTGCTGGGTATATGGTAGTTTTGGATGAGCAATGAGATATTGGAGGAATCGAATTTGAAAAAAAAAACTCGAAAAACTTCAAAAATGGCCTGAAAATGGAATTTCAAATCACCTAACTTCTAAAGCTTCATTTTTTGAGCAAGTTTTTGAATTGGAAAATTGAGAAAAGCCAAAAAATAACGTTTCATAAAAGTATGAAGTAATTCAGACATCAAACTGTACTGTGTACATCACATTGATAATATAAAAAGTAAATAGTGTAACACAATTTTAAATAGTTTCTGAAGTTTTTAAATTCCGAGATCCTGAAATATGGAAAAACTGAAATTCTTAGATTCCGAGATTCTTAGATTATGAAACTTTGAGGTTCTGAGGTTATGAGATTTTGAAACAATGAAACTTTACGGATCATGATAAAAACAAACTAATGGATTTAACATGTTTCAGAAACAGGAAAAAAAAGTTCAAGAACGAAGTTAGCAAATTAGTGACAATGTGTCTGAAGTTTGCAGTCAAAACGGTTTCACATATTCAACAATTTTTTTCTACCCAATTCGATTTCCGTATACATCGGTCTTGTAATTTTACCTGAGAATTCTTAAATTCAAATTGAGATTTTGTTTTAAGCTCCCGCCAAACTGTATGATTTGAACCTCCAATAAAAATTTCGCAAAAACAAAGTATCTCTGTTTCAAAATATTCAGATACTGAAATTTCTAGTGTACCAACCAATATGAATGGAAATACTTTTAAAGATTGAAAGATTCTAGGATTCTAAGATTTTTTTTCCCTTCCCCAACTTCGTACCCCCCCCCCCCACCAAGTTTTCCCCTTTTTTTTCCTGAAATCTCATATGACTACTACAGTCATCAAAACGTCATTGAATTGTATTACGTAATAGTCTGCTGATGTGCTCATCCCCGTTTTCCTCCAATTCAATTTCCAACAATCCTATTTGCGCAGCCCTCCAAAATTCGTCGTCCATTGTGTCCAAGAGAGGGTTACTGTAGTTATTAGTTTATAGTAACCAAATATTTCATTTTCTCTTCTTCAACAAAATCCCTTCTGGTCATTTGAGCAAACAGTTTCCATTATTTTTTGCGCGCAAGTCTGGCGGCCTTTTTGCGAAGTGAGTGAGAGAGAGAGAGAGACCGTGTGAAATATCTGTTTTCCTGTAGAAAATTACACATTACAATAAACCAATTGGGACACCTTTCCTCTTTTTCCTATTTTTATGTGTTTTGGAATTGACCGTTTGAAATGAAAATAGATGGGGTTTTTCATGTTGGTGTTTAATTATAGAGACCTCTATTTTTATTTTGCCCCCCCCCCCCACTTTTTTTCGTTCCAATGTTTCAAAATGATTGATTGATGAGAGGTTGATTTGCATGTTGACCGGAAAGGGTAATTTAGGAGAGACTGATGTAGAAAATTAGGTTATACGGAGTACTGGTCACTTTTTGAGCTCAATTTCTGTAAGAGGAATAAACATTCTGTCAATTGATAAAAAATTGGTGACACCATGATAAATACTTTATCAGTTGACAGGTTTTGGATATTTCTTTTGGAAAATGAGATAATTGAGTCCAGAATACCAATGGCGTTTTATTACAGTGTTTACTGTTGTTCGATGAGCTTATATGGTGGAAATCAAAAATCAAAAATAAATAATCCTCATGAACAAAAAAGTATACTGAAACAGCAAATTTTCTGAATCCAATATTTCTTCTCAAAGAAGCCCACTTAAACTGTCTAGCTAAATTGTCTCGATTTTTATAAGAGATATCAAAAAATTGTCAACAGGTAAATTATTTATCTAATATCACCAATATTTTATCAGTGGACAGATTTTGGACATCTCTTCTAGAAAAGGAGGTTATTGAGCTAAAAATGCCAATAGCGTTTTTTTAAGTGTTTGAAGCCAATTGATGGCTTATAATGGTCCGAATCAAAAACTTTAAAAAATTAATGAAAAAAAATATGTTGAAACAGCAAAAAGTTTTGATTTTTCGCTTCTGAAAGTTTAAAATTCGGCTAGTTAACCCGACCCGATGAAGGACTGTCTTTCGAAATTTTCAAAATTTGAATGTTTCTTCAAAAGTTGAGAAAAATGCAATTCTAGGCATGTAGCTCAAGCTGGCTAAGCTCAAGTTTGCTTAGCTCAAGATCGCTTTATTGTTATAACAATTTATTATTCCTAACTTCTTCGAAACAAACTCAAAGTTTCTTACTGTTTTTAATTACAGTATTCTTTCTCACTTCATGGAATTGGCTTCGTAAAACTACAGTAACCCTCTTCTACAGCATTCCTAAATCTTATTCACCTTTGCCCTTTCCTCCCGAATCCTCCTAAATTCTTTTTCTCCCCCTCTCTGTAAATTCCTTCACTTCTCGTCCATTTTTTCCCAAAAAAACCTAATCTTCTCCTGTCCATTCGTTTCCCGACGTGTTCAAATAGGGAGGGTATTACCCATCCGAAAAACAGAACAAATATTATCTGTCGAGTCGACAAAATGTAGTTTGGAATATAGAGCGAAATGAGCGGAGAGGGAGAAAGAGTGATTAGAAGACATCTAAATACAGGAGAAAGAGCAAGAGAAAATTGGAATTGATGTGATGTATGTTGTTGCTACGGTAGAGAGCACAGATTGAAATTGAGTCCATTAAACGTACGCCGTATTATTTTGGTACGAAAACAAATCAGTGCTGTGGAAGAGACCGAAGGTCCCACAACGACAACTACCGTAACCTAAAATATTTTTACTTTCCGGATTTATTTTCACTTTTCTCATTTTTCAGTGATTTCCGTCAAGTTTTATGTTTTTCTTTTTGCCAAACAAGTCGGGAAATAAATACTTTTGATTGAGAAAAATGACTGAAAACGCACGAAAATCGAGATAATAAATCCGGAAAATAAGAATATTTTTAGGTTGCGGTAGCTGTCGTTATGAGAGCACCAGAATTTTTCAGAAAGGGAACCAGAATATACGAATTTTATATTTTAATCAGCTTTATTTCACATATTGATAAAGGAGTATTTAGAATTTTTGGTTACCTCATGCAGGGATTATTATGGTACGAACAATCCAATATTTAGAATTTGCCTGAAACTGGGAAAAAATTTTATTTAAAAAACTTGAAAACTGGATTTATGGTTAGTATCAGTTACAACAGTTCCGGATGTATCAATACAGATAACGTTAACTTTTTATAAATTAAATTTTTTGAGATCCCGCCGAATTGAAGAATTTTGGCCATTAATAAAAATTTAGCGAAAACATTTTTTTTTCTCCGTTTCAAAACCTTCAGATACTGAAATTTCTAGTTTATTAGCCATTTTAAATTCTTTCTCACGTTCCCTCATAATTACTTCACAGTCAAATACTGAATATTCGTTACCGTAGCTCAGATGTTAGCGGCGCGGCACCTTTAACTGTGGACCAACAAGTTCAACTCCTCCAGGGCTTATATGAACTAGATTTCGGGAAAAATGTGCTTTTCATGTCACTTCTCCTTATTACATTGATCCCTCCTCCCCTGTTTCATGTGGTAAATGTTCCCGGAACCTGTAAAAACCCTCCTATGCTGTCAAGATCCCTTATCTTGATCCAATCTAATTCCCATCGCAATGTTTCTCCTCTTTCTGTTACCTCGTAACATCATCATCCCCTCCAATTTGACATTATCTTTTCTAGAAATCTCTCACACTGTGAGCATGTCAAATTTGGCACACCTGTGTGTCAGGTACTTGAAAAAAATAACTAATCGTGATTTCAACGATACTGGTGAAAGTCGAGAGTTTTGATGTGACCTTCTGAATTTAGATCAACTTTAAAATACTTGAATCTTTAGAAAATGACTGGCAATTATGTTGACATTACGCCATCAATAATCCGAAGATGATCGCGGAAAATCGGATGAACCATACGGTATGGTGTTAAAAAAAGACACTTTTTAAATAGCAATAAATAACCGGCGAAAAAAAACGAATCCTACAAAGTTATTGGTGATATCATCGGGCCATCAAGGACATGCATCATTACTAATTTCTATTAGTTCGAGATTTCACACTCTGTATGAAACAGACATTTTCTTCAAACGCCTTATACCCATAGTTCCGGCAGATAACTTGTCACCAAAACGAGATATTCAGACAGTTTTGGTACCAGATGATCTCGACAGGGCCCATCACATCCATATCATTTCAGCCGGGTTCCGGTTCAATAACATGCCGCGGGCCGGGCTAGGAATTTAGTTACCCGATTTCTAAGTTACCCGATTTCTCCTACCTTCCGAGTTTGAATCCTTAATTTCTTCTAGTATTACTCGTTATTGATATATTTGCTCCCCTATTTTCTCTTCTTCTACCGGTTACATTTTTCCTGTGTCAAATATCTAAATTATCCCGTTTTCCGACCCCTACTCAGATCGGCCTCGTGAGGGGCATTTTTCTGAGTCTTTCATGTCTACCCCTCTAATGTTTTATTACACCTGATCAATAGACAAATTTATTAAATTTGACCAAAAGGGCTTCGCCATTCTAGCCCGGCCCGCGGCATGTTAATGGACCGGAATCCGGCTGAAATGATATAGACGTGATGGGCCCTGTCGAGATCATCTGGTACCAAAACTGTCTGAATATCTCGTTTTGGAGACAAGTTATCTGCCAGCCCGCCATCTGCCCGGGCCGGCCCGTTCGCAACTATGTTTATATCGCACTTTCTCTAAATAAGCCCACCCAAACCTTCCACTTTTAGCTAATTATCTCGATTCTTGTGAAAGTTATCAAATTTTGTCAATTGTTAAAATCTTTATCATAATACCACCAATACATTTTGGCAGTTGACAAAATTTTGATATTACTCTTGTCCGAAATCAATGCACGCTACGGCCGAGAAAACAACAGTGGGCGGAGCTGAGCTCCCACAGAAAGAACACTACTGTATTTTTCAAATTAATGCACGCGCCTTTAAACAATACCTCCACATTTATTGAATTGTTGCCTTTTTTCTTATTTTTTTTGCTTGTTTCTGTCTAATTTTGTCTAATTCTCATAAATTTTTATTTTATTTCCCTTATAAAATAGAAAAGCAGCCAAATAGGGCCCAAAATAAAAAAGCTTCCGAGGTACGGTTTTAAAGGCGCATGCATTAATTTGTTGTTTTCGCTGCTCGACCGACGATGCGATTTTGAGTAAATTTTCGCCCGCAACGTGCATTGAAAATAGACAACATTATTATCTTTCACAGGAAATGAGATAATTGAATTCAAAGTTGACAGTTTAGATGGGTTTTCATCAGAGGGAATACGGTATATATTGAACTGAATCGGTTTGACTAGTAATTTTGCTGATCTTCCTTATATATAAAACGCTAGACGCGCCTGTTGGTCCGTGTCCGGCTGTCTAGTTTTGGGTTTCAAATAAGCATGAGGCCGCCGCCAAAACTGGACCCGCGGCCCTTCGCATAAGGGCTGCGCATGCACCCAGTTGCGCCATAAAGGCAACACCAGGAGAGAGAGAAGGGAGGGAGTACATGTTCTACCATTTTTCGGCGAACCAGTAAAAAATATTGAATTGCGCCGAAGGCGCAGCAGCCAGCAGGCTGGTATTTCATAACTTGACAGACATTTCTGAAATACACAACCGAAGCAATGAATTCAATCATTACATTTTATACAAAATATCTGTTTAAAACAGAGCATTTTTAAACTTTGCAATCTTGCAATACATAATACGACAGTTACATTAAGGAATTCGGTACTAAAAATTGAACAGGGACCGTAGAAAAATTTCGATTTCACTGTACCTGAATCACAAATAATATACAAAATTTAAACATTTCTCAGTAAAATCAATATAATATTTAAAAAATTAGCAGAGTGAATATTTACGACAGAATTTCTAAATTCAATAACAATTTATGTCACAAAAGTTAATACAATTTCTTTGAAACCGGGAATTTTCGAATTTCAACATTTGCAATTTGTATTGTTATGTGCTCTAGGATAATTAATGAGTTAATTTGACTTTTTCTGATTTTTTTGAAGATTTAACTTTAGTATAGTGCAAAAAATCAGTTTTCACAATATACCTAAAACTCCAGATTACCGTATCAAATTTTTGAGAATACATAAAAATGCTGCCCCTGTTAACTATGTGATAATCCTCTGCTCTCCAGTGTTGTTTCTCCATTTTCTGCTCCTCCAAAAGATTTCTGTCCCTCTCCCGGCCGCTCTCTCAGTTCGTGACCGTTCGGCCTTCCGTGGCGTAGGTCGACATGCTTCTTCTTCTTCTTCTTTTTCGAAGCAAGCGCATTTTCTCTGCCTCTCTCACCACCTACAGTACTATTTCTAGTCCTGTGCGGGAGCTATTCCCTCCACACTTTTTCCGCCTGATGCTTTTCTATCATCTCTATGTTGCCTCTTTTTTTTGGAGATGGTCATTCTCACCAGTGGTGGGAATTTTTAACCTACTCTAACTTGCCTGTAAATCTTTCAAACTACCCTAACCATATTATTTTATTACAATTACCCCTTTTCTTCGAAAGATTTATTCACTAATTTTTCTATTTTTTTCTTTTTACCTTTTGATGTTTCTTTTTACCTTTTGATGTTTCTGTTCTCCTATTGCCATATTTCTCATATCCACTCTTCCTTAGAAATTTCAAAAATTCTCATTCCCTTCACACTCCTTCTCTGTCTCCGCCCCTTCAAAAAATTGTTCAACTTTCAATGTCATTCGCTTTTTTTCTAATTCCTAAAGTTTTTCTCATATCTCCCCCTCTCCTTTTTTCCCCAAAAATATCGCAAACGGATATTTGAAAACAGTGTTTTTGTTGTAGATGACCAGAAGGGCAAATTAGAATAGGAACTGTTCTCTCTAGGAGAGCAGAAATTGAATTATCAGGAAATACAAAAAAGTCTTCGATTTCTGCATCAGCGATTCGAGGTTCTATAACTTTATAATAACCATAAGAAACCGTATTTTTAATCTGAAAGTTCTAGCGAAAATTTTGTTGAAAACTCTATTTGTAGAAGTTAAAAGTTAGTTCGTTTTTTGGCACTTTTTAGATTTGTGTCCGAAGAGTCCGGTTTTTATTTTGCAAAAAAAAATGACAGATTTTTTCTCGATATTTCACTTTCAAATAGTAGACAATCACGACCGGTGCCCATGGGCGAAGGTCCCACGAAGACAACTACCGTAACCTAAACATACTTTTATTTTTTGGCTTTGTTTTCTCGATTTTTGTCACTTTTTTCACCATGAAAAATGGCGACTTGTTTGGTGAAAAATACGACTCTTGGTGGACAATTAGTGATTTAAGGCAGCAGTAATTTTATTGTGAGGATGAGAAACAGTATTTTTTCCCAAAAATTTTAGAGATTTTCTGAAAGTTTTAGCGAAAAATCCGCCACAAACTGTACTTTTTGAAGTTCAAAATCCGTCGGTTTTTTTTTTAGAAAATCCGTTTTGTAATTTTCAAAATTGCCAGATGTTTTGCCAGAATTTTTCACTTCAAAATACACCATTTAGCAAAAAATGAGCCAGATTTTGGACTATGATTTTTTTTGATTTCCCATAACTTGATAACCGTTAAAACTTTCGCGGTTTAAATATCATCATTAAATATGGTTTAAATATCACCAGTTTCCCGATTTTCAAATCTGACAAATATTTTTCTTGAAAATTCCATAAAATTTTTCTATCCGTTTTCTGTTCTCTTACTCACCCAAAAGTCAACATGGACATTTTCGGTAAAAATGGTATCCCTTAACCGTTGCAAAACGTTCTTCCCGTTGTTTCAAATCTCAGTTAGTACAAGCAAACATTTACCTTTTTTGATTTGAAATCTAATAATAAATATGCTCGCAATTCAATTTTTTCCGGTTTCAAGGTCTTCTCAAAGTTTTGATAGTTTGAAATTGTTTTCATTGCTATCTCACCTGCCACAAAATAAATTGTATGCCAAGTTCAGCTGGAGTTCAAAAAGTTGCTGCTCATTTTGCTCCAGGACACAACCTTCAAAAATCAGCGCGTGTGGTCATCCACACGAACTATTTGTATTCGTTCTCTGCGTCTCTTCATCTCACACACTCTCTCACCTCTCTCTGGTCAAACTCATCGTCTTATCTACTCATCCGTATCTCTAACATACAGAGCAGAGAGAGACAAGAAAATCAGGTAGCATAATTCACACAAATGGAAGCTAGAGATTAAAAGAGTGTGTGAAAGGAGGAGAGTGCAGAGAAGAATAGTTTTTCTAGGATTTTCTCTTTTTTTTGGGTTTGTCGGGGGGAACATCAGTCGGGAAAGGAAGGAACATGAGTGATTAGAAGAGAGAAACCGCACCTCCCTGTTCGCACTTTTTGAATTTCGGCTACAGTAATCTAATCTTGATTGGAAGCCTGAAATTGTATATTTTTGGAGCGGTTCCTAAAAAAATCAAGACTTTGAATGTCTTTTCGAAAATTCGCTATTTGCAAAAAAATTCTGCTTCAAGAAGAATGTAGCTAAAGTTGAATTTTCTCTTTTTTCGGGATGATTACGAAATGATTCCTTCTGATTAAAACACGTTGTTGGGAATTCAAATCTGAAAAAGGCAATTTTCGGGTTGTCAATTTTTAAGTCAATTGGGCAACGTTTGTAGAAAACATGCCAATTCACATGAAAATTAGAGAGTTCTGAAAACCGCAAAACTTTTAAAAATCTCTTTAAAATTCGAAAAAAAATGACATCGTTCGTTTCTGAAGTTTCTAGAATGTTCTCGAAACCTTTTCGAATTCACATTTGATTTTAAAAATTACTCTTTCGGCGTGAAGGTTCAAAAATTGGGGATCCTGAGAATTTCGTTTTGTTTTTAGTGTGTGAAAAATATCTGTAGAAATATTCAAATTATGATATAGAAGCGAATACAAAACAATTGCAAAACTTTAGAAAATCAATTCAAAACTCCAAAAAGCTCAATTCTCGTCCATTTCTGTAAACTTCTAGAAGATTCTTGAACCGTTTTTGAATTCCCACCTGAACTGAACAATTTTTCCAACCAAATAATCTTTCCTTCTCTCTAAAACTGATGAAAAAACAATTGATTCAAAGTTACCGTTTCAGTATGAAGACAAAAAACCACAATTTTATAAATTTCTGATTAAGTTTTTTAACTTTCTACATACTCAAATGTCTTTGTGAATCATATACCGTAAACACTCTATTAGAACGCCACCAGACAGTCAACGTTAAGCCCATATATCTTGCTTAATGTCAAATATATCCCAAAGTGGTCAACTGACAAAACATTAATCATAATATCAGCTACATTTTATCAGTTGACTGCTTTTTGATATCTTTCACAGAAAATGAGATATGTACGCTCAAAATTGAAGATTCTGGTGGCGTTATGTTAGAGTGATCTACCGTATTCTCGAGACTTCCGTCAAACTTCTTGATTCCTATTCCCGGGGTTTCACTAATCACTATAATCTCTCTTCTAATCTCATTTTCTCCTTCTTCATTTTCTCATCTCCCGTTGTGTTGAAAACTTGAGAATTTGATTTGACCTCAAAATCTTTCCCCTCCCTCCGAGGTCTCACTAAAATCCCGCTTTCTCCCTCGGCGGGGGGTAAAAAATTGGAAAATAATATGGGAAAACTTATTCCCTTTTTTCTATAGGAACTTTTTGAAATTTGCGTTTTTTTGTGATTTTTGAAGGATATATGTATGTTTCACCTGGTAGTAAGCTTAAAGATATTTTGAGTCCCTTATGACTGAAACCGTAATTTTTGAAATCTAGCACAATTTTTTTTAAATTTCTGGAAATACCATAGGTAGATTCTTTATAAACTTTGAAAACTTTTGAAATGTTGATTTCTGAAATTTTTGCAAAGTTTCGTTTACTTCGACATACGGTGATTTTTTCAAGTTTCAGCCAATTTGAGCACCTTTTTCAACAAGTTTTTTTGCGTTAATTTTTTTTTCGGTTTCTTTACCTCGATTTTATGAACTTACGTACATTTTCAAACTTATTGCGAGAAGAAAAGTAGAATTAGTATACCGTAAAACCTGTATAAATGAGCTCCCCCACGATTTCAACGTTGAGTTTAATTATCTCGGTTTCTAAGCAAGATATCAAAAATGTGTCAACTGATAAAATGTTTGTGATATCATGATACATTTTTTATCAGTGACCTATTTTTGATATCTTTCACAGAAACCGAGATGATTGAGCTCAAAGTTTAAAGTTTGAGGTCTTCATTAGAGGTTTGGTGGTATTTGTAAACTTTTCTGGAACCCGGACAACTGAAAATGAGATTGAATATCAAATCCTGGAAGCTACAGTAGTACACAACTGTTATCAGTTTTGGTTACATTTGTTAAAGTTTTCATACACCGGACGGAATGACTATTAACAAAAATCTCAACTTTCAAGAAATTTATGAAGCAGTGACATGAAAAAAAATGTTCTGATATTCCATCTTTCATAGTACCAATGACCGAAAAGACGTCACAAAAGGAACATGAGCTCTTCTAGAACTTTTGATTTTCTATGACAATTTTTTTTTCAAAATCATTGACTCTGAAATGTTTTTTTCTCCTAAAAATGTCAGTTTTCAATCTGGATAATCCAAGTTGAAATCAGCTTTTCGACATGTCAGATCGTTTTTGCAATATTTCTTCAAGAAGAATTTCTTTATTTAGATATGACGAATTGCAGAACAACTTTTGTCAACGTTGTTAAAAAATAATCTGAAGTCTAAAAATTGCCATGTAACTTTTAAAACTCGTATGGATTCTAGAAAAGTTTCAACTTTTTTCTGTTTCAATATATTTGTTTAAAGTTTTCGGACTTCAAGCTGTTCACTGAGTATATCTTTGCTATTTTTATTAATGCTATCCCCAAAAGACTGACCGAAACAGAAATACCGTATTCCCTCAACTAGAAGCCGATCCTATACGTGAACTTTGAGTTGAATTATCTCGGTTCCTATGAGAGTTATCAAAAATCTGTCAACTGATAAAATATTGGTTATATCATGATAAATAGTTCATCAGTTGACCACTTTTTGATATATTCTGAAAGAGCCGAGATAATTGAGCTCGAACATAGGAGGGGCTCTTCTTGGAGCAAATACAGTATTCGCGGTTTTCAATGCTCGATCCCTCTTTTTTCTTTTATTTTGCCATTTTAATTCGCCCACCAAATGAACCCATACTCAAAGTGACCGTTTGATTAATGACACCACTTCCATAGGGTCTCCTCTTCCAATAAAAACCGACGCGGGTCCCTGCAACATAACGCAACAATCATTTTCTGGAGGAAAATTCCGAAAAGAGAGCGAAAATGTGGTGTTGAAATGGAGAAGTGGAATAAATTAGAATGCAAATTACCGCCTCTTTTTGACTGAGATGGAGAGAGAACATACACCGATGAAATGTGTGTGATGGAATA